GAATTATGTTTTAAGTCTTTAAAATGCTGGTAGTTGATGTTAAAAGTTTTTTCTATAAGCTTTTAAAATGTTAAAATATTATTTTAACTTATTAGACTAACTGAAGATGCATTAAAAATCTTAATTTTGTACCATCTTTGTCAAAATGTTGCCAGATCTGTAAGAAACTCGCAGCGTCGAGTCGGTCCAGGGGGCTGTCCATGCTGCTGCAGTCCAAACGTCACGTTGATGAAAACAAAATAACTTTAAAAAATAAAACCTTCAGAGCTCTCTTTGTCTCCCTGCAGATAGAACGTGTAATCCTCCTCAGTAAAACCTGCTGCCCCAGACTTCCTCTGGACTGAGCCTAAAACACTCGGCTTCTTTTATACGAGGGGAGGGCAGCGCAGAAACTAAAACAGGAGGGTTTAAAAAAAAAAAAAACTCTCAATTTTAACTCAGTTTATTGGTAGAAACCGAACAGATGCTTTGGTATAAACATACAAACATATCTGACAGCTTGTGGTCACATTTCCAGGCAAACAAAACGACTGACAAACAATAAAATCCACTTTAAACTGAATAAAAATAAAACAATAAGAAAAAAATCTCCCAATAAACCATCACCAGTATAATAATCACATCATAATTTCCGCATGAAACTGATAAACCCCTCATTTATTCTATAAACAGAAGCACAAACAGATGTTAATAAATATTTACACTGATATATAATACATTTTTAAGTGCAGCAGTACATGAAGGACACTGTAATACAACAGCTATGAGACTGGGAGCATTTAGATTTAGACTAACTTGGTGTTTTAACAGGGAACGTTTGTGAGTCTGTGGCAGGACTGAAGTCAAACTGTTTGTCATGACAAAAAACAAAAAAAAACTATTTTTTTATTTAAAAGTACTAGACTATTAAATAATCTAGATATTTTTTCTTTGGGTAGAGCATGAAGTATTTAAATCTGGGCTAAAGGAAAGGAAGCCTCCCAGCTGCCCCTGATGTTTAGCATCACTTTGTTATCATGTTTAAGTGTTTTAACCAACTTTAAAGAAAACTTAATTTCGTCTTAGTTTACCACCAACTTTCTTAACCACTATTAATGTATATATAAATATTTCCTATTTCACTTTATTCCACTTGTTTTCATTTAATCTCATGTTTTTGTTTATGAGTTTTACCATCAAACTGCTAGAAATTGCAGATGAAAATTAGCATTAATGGCTAAAGTAAAGTCACTCGAATTAATGTGCATTGTCCATTTTGAACAAATACTAGTTTTTCTTTTTTTAATATGATGAGCTTGCATAAAAAAATAAAATAAAATAAAGATTTTGAGCTGTTCTGCTGGTGCAGAYGACCAAATCGCTGCTAACGCCGTACCAGCAGAGAGCAGCTTCAGTCTGASAGGACAACCCGTCAGGTTCATCCTCCTCAGTTCTTTGGACAAAATGAGATTCATACATGGACATGTTTAAACAGAAAACACAGATCAAACCCATCTGATGGGCTCCTTATGGATCTGAACAGAGATGCTAATGATACAGTTTTGGTCAAACATCAAGTTCACAAAAACAGCAGAATGGGTGCAAAAATACATATGTATTTGTACAGGTTATGAACCTAAAACAGAAAAGTCATGCCTCTTTTCTTCTGCAGATGGTTTTGACCTTCTTAATGTTGGTGGGAGCAGAAGTGTCAGTAAAACAGGATTAAAAAGAAAAACAGCAGGCGTCTCGCTGGAATCACATTGAAGGAGTGTCCTCACTGGACTCATCCTCAGATTTGTTGTTAGACTTGAGGTCAGAGGTCAGAGAAGGAATCTCTCCCTCAGCTGGACTGAGCTCTGCCTCTGTCTGAGACGGAGATCTCACTGGAAAAACAGGGAAAAAAAAAGACATTTGGTCAAATTAAATAAGCATGAACTTTAGAAAGGAGATGTGAGAGCACCGACCGTAGGCTGGGAGGGACTTGGCACGSTCGCGGTCGTCCTCCCTGGCTGCTGGAGGACTGGACGAGCCCTTCAGAGACGACCACTGATGGTTACCGGAACTGGGCTCGGTACCAACGACGGGCTGCTCAAAGGCGTCACCGTCTGTTGGAAACACAAATAGAGGAAGAAAAGAAACAACATCCGAATTCAGACAACAAATACAACAGACCTCAGCACATTTAGTGTCAAACTGTTCATTCAGGACATCACGTTTATGATTTATGATTGTTTTTATTTCACTTTTGAATTACCGTATTTATTCGTGTATAATATGATCTCATGTATAATACGATCTCCCTTTTTTGAGCTTAAAAAGCATAAAAAATTTAATCCTCAAACTATCTCCAATTTCATACAGACTTCAACATTTTTCAGCCTTTG